TATACATACATATAAGATATAAATAATTAAAAAAAAATCTAATAACATGTGTATAACAAATGAAGCTCGGCTCTGTCGCGATCACAACGTGAATTTTAACACAGAAATAATCTATTTGAAAAATCTATTTTTCATGAGACCTTTTTTTCATTTTATTTGATCAACCGCTATACTATCAGTAAAATATGAAGTGGTACAAATCCCAAAAAGCATAATTTTATAATCGTAATTACTGGAGAAATTAAGTTACTGATCGCCACAGATTCACGCGATATTTTATCAACAAAACAAATTTTTAATAAAAATATTTAAAAAAAGAAAAAAATGCAACTACCGAAAAGATTATGAGAATCAAGGGTGCAAACAGTAAATTTTTCTAAAGCTAACGGAATTATATGAATGAAAAAGATAACTTTGCAAGAAAAATTATTAAATGTATAATGTAATTAATAATATGTACACTGATTGCACGATCGTGCAGTTTATTCGGAATTTTCTAGTCTCAAAAAATTTCTTCACCGACTCAACGCCAAAACATGAAAAAACGTGTCGGATAATAATATATGTATATTCTGTCTTTTTTTTTTGTCGTGTTTGTCAATAAATTTTTTTCTCATTTCAATTGTATAGACTTTATAATGCACGCGTTGTTGGAGATAACGTAATAGCAAAAAACTCGAATAACGGCCAAATAAACTCGACTAAAATATACTGAAATGATCATAGTAACGATCTAAAAAATTAATTAGGACTATTGTAGCAATTAGTCTCCTCGGGTAAGTGTAAAGTGTAAAACAACCCCTTTAAATTTCTTGTTCAAAAAAGCTTCATAATCTTTAGCTACTTGCATTGAAACTTTTTTCAAATGCTCTAGTGAACGTTATTTTGTTAAAGATAAAAAATAGGAAAAATCGAAAAAAAAAAATTAAATAAAAAATTTTTTTGATTAAAAGAAAACGAGAAAAAAAAATTGTTAACCATTTGTAGTAACGATGATTGGATTAAATTGATCGCGTATGCGTTTCAAACGAATCGATGTAAAAATTGTACCATAAGAGTATACATTAATTTTTCTCACCTGCTTCGTATGACTCACAAGATTAGCCCTTAAAATTTTTTCACGGCACACTCCTCACTTGTATAATAGTGTATTTACAAATTGAATCGCGCGTTAAAAGTTTTCCAGTGCGTCTCAATCGCGTTATGGTGCTACATTTTCTATATTTATCGTTACATAACTATCATCATGTGATCGTTGTGATAATATCGAGCTCGATCCTTTTTCTGGTGATGGTATCACTTTTTGTCGCACGTGGAATTGACGTCGAAGCATTTGTGATCTGTAATTTATGTATGTGCATCATTGTTAAGTTTCTACGAAACAAAAATGTTTCTCGAGGATCACGATTCTTGTACATGTTTGTATTCAGCATAATTTTGTATTATCATACGGTTCCAGTGGAGGTACGGTATAGTTTTGCATTTATTTTTGTTGTGATTAAGATTTTTAAGAATACATATCTTGAACTACTTGGCACAGTATATATACATTGATTGTTTCTCGTCAATCGGTTGATATCGGCTGAATTTCATGACATCGTCTGACTTGTTTTTTATTTGAATTTAACGTTATTTATTGGTTACGAGAATTTTTTAATTAACATTTCAGATTATTTTGTACAATCAGTACATATATTGTTGTTGGAATTAATGATTAGTGTGAAAATATAAAAAATACGTACGTTTCGAATAATGAAAATTAAAATTTTCAATACTTTATTTACTAGTTAAATTTTCAGTTGGCGAAATTTCGATTAGCAGCTCGAAGAGCTTTTACTAGCGCATTGAGTTTAGAGAAAAACAAAAGTAGGGGAAATAAAGTTTATCTCATAGCACGCAGTACTCTTGCAAAAAGTCAACTGTATTTTGTCACATGAGAAATACATATTAATTTAAAAAAAAACTAAAATAAATGCAATAACTTATAACAATAGGGGGAAAGACAAAGGCCACCATTCGTTTGGTTACATGATACATGTATAAATTTTTAGACAAGTTTCATGAATGCCTTTGACTACTTATATCACTCTCTGGGAGTACAGAAATTTTTATTACATACATTTCCACTCGTAGCACGATATTGATACAAGCATGGGGAAATAAATCAACAATGAGGCAGGCTGCGACGTGAGCGTTATGCAGACGAAAATGAAATCAAGATTCCATTTATTACTATATTTTAAATGAATATAAAAA